AGGGTGACCTTTCTGAGGCCTCCACAGCCGTAACTGCCTACTTCCTGCTAGTGCTGTTCACAAGCCCAGGATTGGCCGCAGGAGTTAAAACACATTAGCTGTTATCAGTCAGATTTTTTTTTTTAAATCAGATTTTTAAGGAAACGATTGCCAATGAGATCTCATTGGAAATTCCTTTCTTTTATTTCAGTCCAGACGTCTTGTCTAGACATAGTCTTGGAAACTGGGAAATCCATTCTGGTAACCACAGGTCTCCACACCTGGCCTTTGCAGTGATGCTATCATCTAAGTTACAGTCATCTAAGGTACAGAGAGACCGTTGATAATCTCTTCACCCCCAGGTTTTTCCTCTTCATGGGTAGAAAATGTTTAAAGCATTGCAGTGTAATAGGCTAGGCTTTTGTTCCAGTGGGTCTCCTGCTAAGTCTTCTGTCTCTGCTGGTGCTTTCTCCTGGGGTGTAGATTTTAGCTTTTCTAGTCCTAAAGGCTCCACATTACAGGACATCCAGTAAACCTGGTTTGCAAGCCACTCTTAGCAAAGCCATAGTATACCTGCTTTAAAACACGCTGCCTCAGCCTAAAACTCCTCTGTATCGTAGGACCATCATGAAGATGGCATGAAATCACCAACACATGCCAACATCCTGTTTTTTTCCTACCATTTGCCATTATTGATATTGATGGTGATATTGATATTGATATCCTACAGTCTTGCTAGGCCCATAGTCTGTGTTCCAGACCCTAGCAACAGTTTCAGGAGCAGCTTCCAAGGAAGTCACTACTGTCTACCCCAGTTTTTCTGCTCAAACCTACACCTAATGTCCTTCACAGTGTTTTTGTCTATATACAGCTCTTTTTCTTAATCCTTTGTCTGGATGCTTCAACCACCTTTTTGTCCTGCAGCCTCCCTGTTCCAGCTTCAGACAAGTCTGCTATATAAAACCTATATCCCTGAAACCTCTTTAAATTTTACCAAGGTATTATCAAAGTTTTCATTATGTAATTGAGTAGTCTGTATAACTGCACAAGCCCCTCTATCCCATGTGCTTGGAAATATCCCTGATCTCTGCATATAAGAACACAGGTACTAATAAAAAGAATAATTTTGACTTGATTGAAACTAAAACCTTCTGCTAAACAAAAGACACTATTTTTCCTTGGTTGTGTGGCTTGTGGGATCTTAGTTCCTTGACCAGGGATCAAACCCAGGCATTCAGCAGTGAAAAGGTGGAGTCTTAACCACTGGACCACCAGAGAATTCCCAAAAGGATACTATTAAGAAAGTAGAAAGACAAGCCATAGACTGGAAGAAAAATATCTTCAGTATAAATATTTGACAAAGGATCCAGATACATTAGGTTCAAATTGGAAACAGCCCAAATGTCCATCAACTGAAAAATGAATGAACAAACTGGTATATTCATAGAATGGAATACTCAGCACTGAAAATCATACTGCTAGTATATAAAATGACATGGATGAATCTTGAAAAAATGTTTAGCAAAAGAAGTGAAGTGAAGTGGTAGTTGCACAGTTGTGTCTAACTCTTTGTGACCCCATGGACTGTAGCCTGCCAGGTTCCTCTATCCATGGGATTCTCCAGGCAAGAATACTGGAGTGGGTTGCCATTTCCTTCTCCAGGGTCTTCCCAACCCAGGGATTGAACCCTGGTCTCCTGCGTTGCAGGCAGATTCTTTACTCTCTGAGCCACCAGGGAAGCCAGACACAAAAGATACTGCAAAACAGTATATGTATACTATAATAATAGGCAAAACTAATTTCTGGTAATAGAAACCAGAGTAGTGATTTCAGTAAAGACTGGAAAAAAGGATCAGAGAACTTTCTGGAGTGATGGAAATGCCCTATATCTTGATCTAGTTGGTGATCATACAAATGTATACATTTGTAAAACATAATTGATTTCTTCAGTTAAGGTATGTGCATTTTCCTTAACATAAATAATATCTCAATAAAATGATTTTTAAAAAGTGAGGTGGAGGGCTTCCCTGGTGGCTCAGTGGTGAAGAATCCACCTGCCAAAGCAGGATACATGTATTCGATCCCTGATCTGGGAAGATCCCACAAGCCACAGAGTGACTAAGCCCATGTACCACAACTACTGCGATTGCACTCTAGAGCCAGGGGACCACAACTACTGAAGCCCGCGTGCCCTAGAGCAATAAAAGCCACCACAAAAAGAAGTCCACACACCACAACTAGAGAGTAGCCCCCATTTGCTGCAACTAGAGAAAGCCAACATGCAGCAATGAAGACCCAGGGCAGCCAGAAAAAAATGAAGTGGCTCAGATTTCCTCATCAGAGCCTGGGGAATGCCAGGCTCAGAGCAGGGGGCTGGACAGGAAGGGTTGGGATGTGGCCAGTGGAGACTCAGGGCATGTCACCCTGCACAAGTTGGCACTGGTGGCTTCCCTGGCATAATCAGGGTTCGCAAGGCAAGATAGTGATTTGTGGCAGATCTCACCTATCCTGGGTGGCCAGGAAAAAGAGCAAGGCTCATTCTATCCCAGTTAACTGTGAGCATCGAGCATGGTTACAGGAAACGGACTGAACATAGCCTTGAGAGTGAATATGAACACTTTCCACCTTGACCACTCAAAGCATTATTGTCCCTACTCCATGGTCTGTTCACTTACAGGCTCATAAGAGATGGGAGAGTATCTTTAAAATTCCTAATCCTGGACTTCGCCCCTGTTTTCTTAAACCCTGGCCTCATTGTACTTTCTGGGGTAGTCTGCCCCAGTTCAGCCCTCAGTCATAGGTGCCACAGCTGAAGCTACGCTAACCCCACCTCCAGCAGAGCCCTGAACTCCCCTAGCTCAGGAGCCACCTTGTGGAGTCTTGAGAGTCTATCCTCAAAGATGCCATGAGATGCCATATTTAGGATGTCACACACAGCAGGTTAAAAGAAGCTAGTTATACTGGGCCAGGGAGATTACATGTTGTCTCTGTTATCCTTTATATATATATATAAGTGTATAATATATTTTAAATATATATGTATTTAAAAAATAAATATATTAAAATATATATATACTGTGTATGTATGTGTGATGCTAAAGGGTCTCTGAACACAAAACTAGATTGTTGTTTCTTCTTCCTAAGTTCCCCTGTGCCCTCTAATGGGGTTCAGGGAATATGTCTGTTAAGACACTAGCCACGCTCAAAGATAAACAAGTCCTAAGGAATTCATAGCCCGACCAAGGAGGAGAGGGAGGGAAGATGGGAGAGACTGAGCCACAGAACACAGTTTCTTATAATTCCAATGAGTCATGACAAAGGTTGTAAGAGAGATGATTCTTTTACATCCCTCGGGAAATGAGAAAGTAGGGCTGGTAAGGTTTTGTTCAAGCTGAGAAAGAAGGTGGAGGGAATTGCAAAAGAACAACTAGGGACTAGAGTAGGGAGAAGTGGGAATAGGAGGGCAGTGAATCCTCCTTCACACTGGAGAGAGGAACTATGCATATACTTTCAAAGGATATAATCATCACCCTTTAGTAGTTTCTGCAGGAGCTTTTGAAAAATTAATTGCAATACACTTTAGCCTGTACTGAACCCTTGCAAGAAGAAACTAGACAGGAAGGCTGAGGTCCAGAGCTGCCCAAGTCATTTGATGTTAAGTCAAGTTGATATTATGTCACTCCAGCCTCGAGAGAGGGATACCCTTATCTCACCATAGAAACTCAAGGGGAATTTGGTTATTTCTTCAAAAAGGAACATCGTTGATGTTTCTTCTAACAATATATAAGAGTTATATGCAAAGAAAAAAAAAAGAAAAGGAAAGGCCTTCATAAATTTATTCCCAGGAGATAACTGTCATCAGCAGATCTTTTTGGATTTGGACTAAGCAGGTTCTTGACTATATGTAACAGAAAAGGACTCTAGGTACCTTACACAGAAAAGGGGCTTATTAGGAGGACCTTACATAGTTCATAACAGCAGAGGGAAAGCAAACTCAGAAAGATGGGCAAGAATGAAGGGAAACCAGGCAACCAGGAACCTGCCAAGGTCAGGATCCTGGACAATCTACGAAGGATGCCGCGTCTGCTGCCAGTGGATACGGCATGGCTGCCATCACTGCCTCAGACCCGGCGTCACAGCCACCACCAGCAGCCAGCTAAGTTCTAAAATGATCCTGCTTCTGGATTCTAAGTCCAGCTGCCCAGGGTAAGCACACACACTTTCACTCTGGCAGCCAGGAGCCTGGAGAGTGGGTATGCCGCACAGTTCTGCTCTCAGCCAGTCCCATACAGTGTTGAATCCCTCAAGAAATCATATGACCCAGGGCAAATATTCATTGTATCTGTATGCATTCAGCTTTTCTGTTTGTGTGTGAGATTTTATTACACACACGAATTGGTAAGTAGATTTTTGTTTTGGTTTGTTTAGGACAGTGTATCTTTTCATGCCAATACAATATTTCCCCTAAATTCTTGCACAGTATGTATTGTATAGATATTGTCAACATTTATTTAATCAATTTTTACACAATGGACATTTATTTTTATTCTTTATTATTATAAACCACACAGCTGAGAACATTCTTGACCAACTGGCACTCATCCTAGAGGTCCCTAAGCATAAAGTTCCAAAAGTGAAACTGCTGAGCAAATGGCCTATAAAATTATCTGTCGCCAGATCGACCTCAGGAGACACTATCCATTTACACCTTAACTAAAACTTATAAGAAAGTCCAAAATCGACTGTCTTTCACTGATCTGCTTCTAATTTTGTTAGAAGGAACCATCCACCAAGAGAGGGAAGTGGAAATGAGACGTTCTGTACTAATTTCTTGGCGCTCTAGCCGCGTGGAACGCCAAGGAATCAGGTGCGGCGCACTTCCTGGCAGCGATTCGCGCTCGGGGCACCAGGGCCTTGAACCGCATTCGCCCCACGTGCCAGTCGGCTTCCCTCCCGGCTCCGCCAAGATAACCTATCCAGAGCACCTTCTGCGTAAATAAATAAACAATACGAAGCCCAGGATGGGAGCGCCAAGCCTCCTGCTCGTGAGCTGGAGGTCAGAGCCGGCCCTCTTATGTCCAGCATTGCTAAGACCGATCCCGTCAGCCTGCCGCATTCCGTGCTTCCCCAAACTCGGTGAGGACCAGGCGACAAGCAATGACACCCCGGGACTGGAAATGTATGGGACGCCGGGGATGCAGAAGCCCTCGCCGCTCCGCTTTGGCCCGCTCCTGCGGCTCGGGGCCCAGAGTCCACAGTTCAGCGCCGGCGGACACTGGGCATCTACTACTGCTTTTCAAAGGCAGCCTCACGCGCCCGCTATGTGGCTTGAGAAGACTCCCGGTCGCCTAAAGCAGCCAGCAGGTCCCATGGTGTAATGGTTAGCACTCTGGACTTTGAATCCAGCGATCCGAGTTCAAATCTCGGTGGGACCTCACCAAACCTTTTGGTTCTACAATTCCTATTTTGGAGGCCTCCGGCGGTAGTGGCTATCCCGTGCTGTGCCTTCTCCCCAGTGACCTATCGGACCGCGGTTTAGGCTCCCTCGGTCTTTCTCAGGATGCGTTCTTTTCAGGGTCGGCTTGAAGGTTGCCGCACGCATGCGCAAGAGCCCGGGCGGAAAAGTAAGCGTGTCTGTGGTACTCGGAGCGGGACTTTACCCCGTAAGGACTGCCAAAAGCGCCCGGAGGGTCTCCAGCATCCTGCTTCCGGCAGGGAGCGGCAGCAGGCTTCGGGTCTAGGAGACGCCCCCTGCCCGCGCAAGCTGCCTGGAATCCTTCTTCCCATTGGCTAACGTGCCAAACATTCTGCTCTGATAGCTGGGAACTAAATGGCCCGCGCGAGCCGAGGGTGAGGGAATAACCGGCGTGTGTTTGGGGATCGCTCCGCCCGGAAGTAGGTCTGATACTGAAATGTGTCTGTCTGGATTGTCCGCCACACGGACGGCCGACTTCGAGGTTGTTTGTCTTTCGGTCGGAAAAAAAAAAAAAAAATCCCTTAGTCAAGGAATCCGTTCTTCAGTCCGTTTCGGCCGGTCAGGCTGTCTGCCAGCGGTTTCTCGTCGTATCGATGGGCTGTTTCTCCCGAGCAGACGATAGGAATCTCCGTGGGATTCACCCACAAGGTTGAGCGAATCTCTTGTGGCGAATTTGTCCAGGGTCGGTATTTGGGTGCTGAGCACGCTCACGTGATTTGCAGGAAAGGTTGTACCTCTGGGATAGCCGCGAAGAGAAGCGAATGGCGTGTTGTCTTCTGGGTTGGTATCTGGGTTTTAAGAGCTGTCTGTCTCTCAGGAATAAGTGACGAGGGAGCCCGCTGACGCATTTGTGTTCTCCCTACAGGGTGACTGGCACTGTGATTATGTGGTCCCGCGCCTTGGGAGAATGCCATGGAAACAGAATACTCGCTCTGCTCTTCCTGTCATCCTGAGCACCCTTCCTCCCCAACCCACCCCACACACTGCTTAAACATTTGAATGGATTTGTGTGTATGGGCGATCCCAGCTTCAAAAATACCTAGGCATGAGAGGTGGGAAGATCTGCACTATCAAATATTAAAGTTTATTATCAACTCTTAAGCTGTAGGAATGAAGACAGTGTGGTACTAGGGCAGAGAAAGACATACGAGTAGGAGAGAATAGAGAGCCCAGATACAGATGCGAACGTACTTGGACAGTGATCTATGATAAATATAGTACAACAGAGCGGTGGGAAAAGGGCCTTTTTTCAGTAAATTATTCTGGGGTCATTGAGTGTCCATATGGAAAAATATGAAATCAAATTCCTCCCAGTTTACAATAACACAGCAATACATTCTAGATGAATTATAGACTTTAATGTGGAAAAAAAGCAATAAAAGTTTTGGAATACAACGCAGGGGAATATCTTCATGACCTCAGGGTAGAGAAAGTCTTCTTAAGACACAAAAGATTCTAAAATCTTGATATATGTCACCATATTAATATGATATTCTATGTTCTTATCAAAAGACCCCAATAAGGAAGTGAAAAATTAAGCCATAGAAAAGGAAAATATATTTGTAATGCATAACTGACAATTTGTATCTAGAGTATATTTAAAACTCCTAAAATTCAATAAGAAAAAAAGAAACCTAATGGAAAATTACAAAGACTTGAACTGGCACTTCATAAAAAAAAAGAAATCCAAAATAATCGATACATATGAGAAGATGGAACACATCAATCATCAAGAAAATGCAAATTAAAAGCCCAGTGAGATACTATTACACACTTACCAGATTGACTATGCTGAATGCTGGGTTTCCCTGGTGGCTAAGTGGCAAAGAATCTGCTGCCTGCAATGCAGGAGACCAGAGTTCGATCACTGGGTTGGGAAGATGCCCTGGAAGAGGGCATGGCAACCCACTCCAGTATTCTTGCTGGAAGTTGGACATGACTGAGCAACTAAGCATACAGCACATGCTGAATGTTACCGAGATTATGGAATACTGTGAATTCTCAGACGAGTAAGTTGGTGAGAAGTTGAAGATATCATACCCTATAATCTGGCAATTTTACTCTTGTGTGTGTGTGTTAAGTCGCTTCAGTTGTGTCTGATTCTTTGTGACCCTATGGACTGTAGCCACCTCAGGAGGCTCCTCAGTCTGTGGGATTCTTCAGGTAAGGATACTGGCATATGTTACACCAGGGGATCTTCCCAACCCGGGGATCTTCCCAACCCAGGGATCAAACCTGAGTCTCTTACGTCTCCTGCATTGGCAGGCGAGTTCTTTATCAGTAGTGCCACCTGGGAAGCCCAATTCTACTCCTGAAAGAAATGAAGGTCTCTCAGTCGTGTCCAACTCTTTGTGACCGCATGAACTCTAGCCTTGCAGGGTCTTCTGTTCATAGAATTCTCCAGGCAAGAATACTAGAGTGGGAAGCTGTTCCCTTCTCCAGGGGATCTTCCCAACCCAGGCATTGAACCCAGGTCTCCCAATTTGCAGGTGGATTCTTTACCATCTGTGCCACCAGGGAAGCCCTAGACAGTGTATTTATTCCAAGACAGCGTATTAAAATGCAGACATCACTTTGCCTACAAAGGTCTGTATAGTCAAAGCTATGGTTTTTCCTGTAGTCATCTATGGATGTGAGAGTTGGCCCATAAAGAAGGCCGAACATGGAAGAATCGATGCTTTCAAATAGTGATGCTGGAGAAGACTCTTGAGAGTCCCTTGGACAGCAAGATCAAACCAATCAATCCTAAAGGAAATCAACCTTGAATGTTCATTGGAACATTGGAACTGATGCTGAAGCTGAAACTCCAATACTTGATACAAAGAGCCAAGTCATTGGAAAAGTCCCTGATGCTGGGAAAGATTGAGGGCAGGAGGAGAAGGGGACGACAGAGGATGAGATGGTAGGATGGCATCACTGACTTAATAGACATGAGTTTGAGCAAACTCCAGGAGATGGTGAAGGACATGGAAGTATAGCATGCTGCAGTCCACGGGGTAACAAAGAGTCATACACCACTTAGTAACTGAACAACAACATATAGCCACAGAAATGTTTGCTTCTGTGCACTTAGAGACATGTGTAAGAGTGTTTTTGTCAACATAATAGCCAAAAATTGGAACTCAAATGTCCACCTACAGTAGAATGGATGAATAATTTGCAGTAAGGCCACACATCACACAGCAATAAAAAAAATGGACAACTCCATGCTACAAAAGCAGATAGGTAGGAAAGGGTAAATAATGAATTATTCCATTTGTTTAAAATTTCTAAATAGGAAAACTTTTTTATTGTCTAGAGCTGCAAACTTAAATAGTAAAATTATCCTGCAAAGCAAAGAAGTAATTCACATGTAAGTGAGGGTATGGAATATTTTGGGGAAGAGAGAGGGCTGTGGTCTTCCAGGGGTACTGATACTATTGTATTTTTTGTCCTTGGGTGGAAGTTACATAAATTGTTCACTTACAAATTTTTGTTAATATGCACATTATGTTGTATGCACTATTCTGAACCTGTGTTATATTTCTCAGTTTAAAAAGTCAAAAAGTTGGAGAAGGAAATGGCAACCCACTGCAGTATTCTTGCCTGGAAAAATCCATGGACAGAGGAGTCTGGCGGGCTGAAGTCGATGGGATTACATGACTGAGCATGTGTGCACGAGGTTGGAGGGAGATGGGGTAGCAATAAACTGGTAGAACTAAAAAAATAAAAAAATAAAAATAAAAAGTCAAAAAGTGATAAACAACAAAGTCCTACTGTATAGCCCAGGGACCTATAGTCAATATTCTGTGATAGGGGCTTCCCTGGTGGCTCAGTGGTAAAGAATCCTCCTGCCAAAGCAGGAGATAGGGGTTTGATCCCTGGTCTGGGAAGATCCCATATGCCGTGGAGCAACTAAGCCCGTGTGGCACAGCTATTGAGCCTTTAACTCTAGAGCCCCAGAACAGCAACTATCGAGACCACACGCCACCTCAACAAGAGAGGCCACCACAATGAGAAGCCCACACAGTGCACCTAGAGAGTAGCTCCCACTTGCAGCAACTAGAGAAAAGCCTGTGCGGCAATGAAGACCAAAGATAAAGACCAAAGCACAGCCAAAGATAAATAAAATTATTTTTTAAAATGTGTCCTGTGATAAACCATAGTGGAAAATAATATGAAAAAGAATGTATTAGTATATATGTGTGTAACTAAATCACTTTGCTATACAGCAGAAATTAACATTTTAAATCAACTATACTTCAATAAAATAAATTAAAAAACAAGACAATACTCCAGTATTCTTGCCTGTAAAAGTCCATGGACAGAGGAGTCTGGCGGGCTGAAGTCCATGGGATTATATGACTGAGCATGTGTGCACAAGGGTGGAGGGAGATGGGTTGGTAGCAATAAAGTGGTAGAACTAAAAAAAAAAAAAAAAAAAAACAAGACAATAAACAAAAAAGTCAAAAAGTACCTGCCTAGAGACATGTTTCTTCCCTGGTCATAGATGAGGAATCTGAGATCAAATTTTGTCCACACACACACAAAAAAACCACAACAAAGTTTGTCCGCAGAGAGGGAGTCAGGATAAAGCTCCTCTCTCGGTTCTGAGCCATCTGAACCATATTCAGAGGATCGGGTTTGATTCTAGGGATCACACAAAAGCACTGATAAATTTCATCCTGCTGCTAACTGCGTGACTGCATTTGGGTAAGAAGTTTAAATGCTCTGAAATGGTAACTCTGTGTGGTGATAAATGTGTTAACTAAATTATTGTGGTAATCATCTGGCAGTATATAATGTATAAAATCCTTACTGTTGTACACCTAAAACTTATACATTGTTATATTTCAATTATATCTCAATAAAGTTGGAAACAATATTCTGTGCCTCATCTGTAAAAGGATAATAACCGTACCT